CTACATAAATTAAGAAAGAAGAAATGACCTTTATTTTTTGAAAATGGCGTAAAAGTATTACAAATCATACAATAAGAATTAACAATTTTAAATTTTAAATACTTTAATGCTTTATACTTATTCTATTTCCACTTTGGACAAAAAATATCCTCCCAATATGCATATTTTTTTAAACAAAAAAGTGGAACCCATTATTGATGTATTCAAGGATGCTTTGGTAATTTTCCTATGATGAATTCGTTTTGTTTGTTGTTTAATTTTTTTTAAATAATTGTATAAAATATTATAAATCACAATAATTATTTACTTATATATAAGAGTGAGTTTATGATGGGACATTTGAATGTCCCATCATAAACTCCCTATAATATATATTCTACTTATATTATATTAGATATATATATAAGTAGAATATATTATATTATATATTATATAAACTCCCTTAGAAAATAAATATATATTATAGGGAGTTTATGATGGGACATTCAAATGTCCCATCATAAACTCACTCTTATATATAAGTAGAATAACTAAAAAAAATTGCCGAACTAGACTGTAGACAATATCATTGTAGGAAAGTGTGACTATAGTAATACTAACAACCCTAATCGATTTGATAAATGACGTGTTCGTCAATGCTATAATGTTATATTATATGAATTTATTATTTATAAGATATAAGAAATAAATATTACTATTTGTTATATTATATGATTTGAATCAGGATTAAATCAACAAGTCCATTTTACATTTGCATCTGGCATACATGGCAGTTGACAGCAGGGCAAGAATACTGGAGTAACGAACAAACGTGGCGTTCATGATTGTTGACAACGCAAATAAAGGAAGACACTTCACCAAAAAAATGCCCCCAGCCCGCGCACGACGCAATTTTCCCATTTACAGTTTCAATGTCTCATCACAAATTTCAAACACTCTTGCATTGACTCAGCTAGGTAGTTCACATCATTCAATCTTTTACATTTCTTCTTCCTTACTACTTTACACCATCACTCTGACTAGTTGACAAAATTCAAGTGTAGCTGCGGATTGTAAATGGTGAAACTATAGCTAAAAGAGTATTATTTCCTTTGTTTATTAGTTCCAAATTCAGCGTGGATAAGTACTTTATTTAAAAATATTGTGTGGACATACGTGTGTTTTTGTGCTCTCTTTTTTGCTGTCACTGTCGTCAATACTGTTCTTATTTATTAACTACTTTTAATTAATGTCGTGATTCATTATTATTTCCTGATTAAGGGTTTTTTCTCCCTCTTCTAATTTTGATTTTTAATCTTCTCCTTCATTGCTTTGAATCGACAATGCCATGGTGGGATTTGAGATCTGTTTTCGTTTTCAAGAATTTCAGATGCTTTTCGCAGTCTCAGGTTCGTAAGGATTATCTGCCACGTTTTGATAACGGCGACTGTAATTTATGCCCATGTTTGATCTAACGCTTTAGCAGTTCCTAATATTGGTGATTTTAGTAAAATCTGTTATGATGTAGTGTTATTTTTACACCTGTACTGGAAATTGTCAAGTTCTTAGATTTAGTTGCACTGTAGTAGTTGCCTGTTGCACAATGCTGGAAAAGTACTTATGATATTTAGCTTTCTACTCTTGAGACAATGATAAGTTTGATCTTTTTTTGGCTTTCAATCAGAACGGATTAAGTCAAAGGTTGGAAACTTCTGCTGGATTTTCTCAACTGTTTCGGCCACTGATAGCCCACAAGAAACACCAGGTATATATATTTCTCACAAATGGGTTATTATTCCATCCATTACATATTCTATACCAGACTTGAGATGAAAGAAGGGGATGGGATAAGTTTGGAAATGATTTTGAGTGAGATAATTGCGAACTCAATAGATTGGACCGTCCTGTGAGCTATAATGAGTCACGTGCAGCTCAGCTAGTGTGAACTGATAAAATGAACTTTGGCTAATTTATGTAAGATTCACTTGGAACCATGCAAATACCATAGTTTTTATTGGAAGCATGTTATGTTCAAACTGCCATTTGGACCTAGCCACAACTATTTTTAGATTGATCACGGGCCATGTATTCGATTTATGGGAATATGCTTGAGTTCTTTTGTTGGCATGTCATGCTTGCTTCACCATTCTGACCAACATCTACCCCTGAATACTGATACAGTCTTACCTTACAATATTGTTTTGTTTATTTCTATAAACAAAAATTATGGTGGACTGTATAAAGCACGCTTCTGTAGATGTGGCAATCTATTTTTTACCTTGTGGGATGAAATAAACATAATCCACCTGCGCATATAACAGATTTCTGATGCAAATGACCTTGTTATGGCTCTTAAATTCAGAGAAGGAGATTATCTTGTGTTTATATATGCAGCTTATTACAAATTTAGAACAAATAAGTCTCTTTGGAATCATGTTAAAAGAATACCCAATTTCTTACTTTTGCATGTTCTTAGCAGGGTAGAATGAGGGATGCCCAGCCCGGATCACATGCTGTGAACGTGAGGTCTGTGACAGTGGCATCATATACTGTGAGGTCTCATGGTATAACAGTGGCAAGGACTCATTTGAATGACTGGCTGATCCTAATACTACTTTTGGGGATAGTTGTCCTTCTGAATGCTATCCATCCGTTTTATCGGTTTGTCGGGAAAGACATGATGGAAGACCTCAAGTATCCTTTAAAAAGTAATACTGTACCTATTTGGGCTGTGCCAGTGAGTTAGTCCTCACTCTTCATTCAGTAGCTACAAAATTACTTTATAGAGGCGATTAGTACCTCATATTCAGATTTCAAAATTTCCAAAACTTATCAGGTGTATGCTGTTCTGCTGCCTATGGTTGTTTTTCTGCTCCTTTACTTTCGGCGAAGAGATGTCTATGATCTTCATCATGCCATATTGGGTAAACTATTCTTTGGATTTGGCTAGTTTTAGTGGAAGTAGTTTATTATGTTCTCGCCATAAAAGCTTTCTGGTAGTTGTCCTCTAATTATGTTGTGATAGCAGGGATTTTGTTCTCTGTTGTGGTAACAGCCGTTATCACAGATGCTATAAAAGATGCAGTTGGACGGCCTAGGCCGGACTTCTTCTGGCGCTGTTTTCCAGATGGAAAAGAAGTATGTTTCCATGATGGTTATACTTTATGCTTCTAGTTGTAGTCTAAGGCTCCTCAGTTGTAAGGAGTAGTATTTTATCAGCACCCTTAAATATTGATGGGTCAACAGGTTTACAATAAATGGGGAGATGTTGTATGCCATGGTGACAAAAATGTTGTCAGGGAAGGGCATAAGAGTTTTCCAAGTGGTCATACCTCCTGTAAGTAGAATGCATGGTTCATTAATGTTCTCATGCATTGTAGAGCAAAACATTGCATGTGTGGAGACAGACTTGAAATTTACAGCATCTATATATGTTGCTTCTTTCTCGTCTTCTCATCTTTTGAGGATTTCGGATCAACTTGCAGTGTCCTTTGCTGGTCTTGGCTTTCTATCGCTTTATTTATCTGGCAAGATACAAGTCTTTGACTGTAGAGGACATGTTGCTAAACTGTGTCTCGTATTACTTCCTCTTCTTCTTGCATCTCTGGTTGCCATTTCTCGGGTGGATGACTATTGGCATCATTGGCAGGATGTGTTTGCTGGAGGTCTGATTGGTGCGTGTTTTATGGTTTTATTTGTTGTTTGTACCTTTAACAAAGAATCAACTTTACAATTGGGTAAACAAACTTATCTTAAGACTTGTCTGAGACACCAATGAAATCTGAGGATATTTTCCTTTTCAGGTCTTGTAGTTGCAGCATTATGCTATTTGCAGTTTTTTCCACCTCCATATAATGATCAAGGTCTGTCCTCATTCCTCTAATTGTCTCAGTTGTGTGAAAATTCTTGTGATAGAATGTTAGAAGCTTTCTCTTTCATGTTAAACCTATGCTGCTTCCCAGAGTAAATAGTTGAATGAACGTGTTTACTTAATGCATCTCAAATGGATGTTCATATTACTTGTGAGTGCCGTGGAATTTTTATTCCGTAGCTGATCCCGATTGATGAGCAAAGGTGTTCCACTTTTGTGTTTGCGCAACTTTAATTGTGAAATGATGTGTAAATATACATATCTATCATTCGTTCATTATACGTGGATAAAAGGTTCTTTCTATCATTCAATAGCTCTCTGCAACTTGAGGGATCATGCCCTATGGAAAATGTAATGATAATTGCCTCTTGGTGGGTAAACCCATTCTTCGAAATCCAAAAGAACTGATAATCTGTGACTAAAGGAAATGACATCACTTTTGGCCGAGCTGCATTACAAAAGACAGCTGTCCTCCCTACAAATGAATGGATCTAGAAAAAGGTTGTTGTTTATGTTTCTCGGAGATAGAATATGGCCATGGAGAGGATTCTATGTACCATGGAGATGTTTTCGCTTTGTCGTCTTCCCTCCTTTTTCTAGTCATATTTTAATTGTTCGTCAGTTTTGTACTTCTAGGCTGGGCAACCTATGCTTACTTCCGTATGCTGGAGGAGTCCCAGGGAACTGCATTAGCTGCTAATGGTGAAAATGTCAATGCAAATAATACATGCAACGCAGAGGTTCAAATAGAAAGTCGACAGAATGATAGAAACAACGACACGTTTACGGGCATTTCCTTGTCCGGGGATTCTGGTCCAACCGTGGAAGATCTAGAATCTGGGAGGAGCTAGTTTAACTTGAGGCGATTGATATTCGGAATGACTCAAACAAACACTGGCCCAGAGTCCATGAAATGACCTCTTTTGAAGAAAAGATACATGGGATAGACTAGATTTCATTCTTGCCACACTGATCACAGGGCAAATGTTTTACATATGCATGTAAAAATTGTAAAAAAAATTCTTATTGTACAAGTTGCTCAGAATGTTGTAGCATTTTAGTTGATAGATGTATGATAGTGTTGCATGTAACATCAGTTTAGAGAACATTTTTGTGAAGCTTGTAAGCACAAAGTGAGATTATAACAAAATTGCAAAGAAGAAGCTTATGGAAATAGAAAATTGCAAAGACAGAGAGTTCAGATTTGAATTACAAAGGGGTTTCTGGAAGTGCTTTTGGGTTCAAAAAATCTGGACTTAAATTCGTCCCAGGAAAACCCAACACCAATTCCTTGTCCATACCCGAACCCGATACCAAGACCACAACCCATACCCACTCCGAAAACCAGTTTGAGATGGTTCCAATCGGAACCACCTAAACCTAGACCACCAATTGCTCCAAGACCGACACCGACGCCACAGCCAATTCCGAAACCGCCGCCTGGCCCTAATGTTGCTTCTTCTAGTTTCCGGCTGTTCTCTTGGATGAAATCTGTTACAGATTGTCGCTTGTCATCACGTTTTCCCCTTTTTCCGTTGAGATTCAACTTCCAGAGGGAATTGTTGTTGTCAGCTTTCCGATAGGCAAATCCATTCAGGCGAAAGGTTTTCTCCTGCATTCTTCTTTACTTGAGAGGCTGAAACTGGGTTCGTTGACCTCCGCTAAAAGTAATGTGTGCCTTTTCTCCAAAGCGGGGGTCAATGGTAAACTGACCAAAAATGGGTGACGGAAATGGAGATAAGGGAAATAAATCAGAACTTCCTAATTTATTTTTTTTGTTACTTAATATTCTCTCGGTACAAGTAAACATCAATTAGTAGGGATAGTATGGTAAAATAATTATGCCAATCATTTTCCGGTATACTACTTATACTAGTTACATTTCGGGATAAAAAACCATCTCAATTGCTATAAAATATTCTCAAAAGTTTAGTAGGAGTTTCAGTCAATACATAATACATAATAAATTGGTATTAAAATTTTCATTAGTAAAATTGGAATTATTCTCAATACATTAAATCAAATAATTAAAAATTAATTCTAATATAATTAATTTCAAAATATTAATCCCAATATTACTAACAATGTACTAGTACACTAATATTCATATTACACAAGTGGTAGATACTTTGCAAAGAGGGCATGGGCTTGAGGTACCTTTTCAGACTAGTAGAAGTCTCATATCTTTCTAATTTCATATTGACTGCTAAACTTCTAGATGGATTATTTATTAATACTACTACTAATATTCTCTGTTACAATGGAGGGCTTGACTTTCTTCTCTTGCTAGTATTTTTCTTTGAAGGTGTGCCTTTGACCATGATAAATATGTATGCATTTTATTGCCTTACATTTTCTAGGGAATTTCCAAACACATTGTGTTTTTCAACTATTTGACTAGTATTTTCTAATAGGCACACAATGTGTTTTTTCGCTTGCATTACATAGATTTCACAATTTATTTATTTTTATAGAAAAAATTAGATACCAATTAGACATATATAGTAATTTTAGAAAACTATTTAAATTATTTACCTTATGTTATAAAACCAAGAACATTATTATTCCATCTGTCCCAATTTTAAAAATGTATCAAGTCAAACCAACTTATATAAATTGAGACGGAGGGAGTATATCTTTTCATGAAACCTCATTTAAATATTTTCAATGATGGGAATTGGGATGAATAGTCCATCATCGAATTCCCATAATACCTCCCACAGGCTATATTGACCTGCTGACTTAAAACAATTAGAAAATCAATTTCCACTTTCCTCTTTCTTGCTTCATCACACACGTAACATAATTTAAAATTCCATTACAAAAATTCTTCTTTTAAATTGTATATGCATATAAATAGAAGTAACATTTCTTTTCCTTAATCAACTACTATATCACAACTCTCTCATAAACAAAACCACAAATTCATATAGAAAGAATATAATATGGATTTAGTTCAAAATATGTTCAATGGAGGCTTAATAAAGAGATCACAATGGGGAAAAAGAAAATATGGTAATGGCAGGAAGAACATAAAGGTTATTAAGTTAGGTGGAAAGAGCCAAAAAAGAACAATTATATGGAGGATTAAAGCAATTCCAAAATTGAAATTGAAGATTTTTTCACCATTTAAATTATGGAACAAATTCAAGAATGCTTATATGAACATGATGTTTCACTTGGCTGGAAATGTGAACAATGAAAATTACATGTTTGGTAGAAAAAGAATTCCAAAGGCAAGGGAAATTGAATTAGCTTATACAAATAGTGAGTTTGAAAACAGACTTATATATGAAATTTATAAGTCCATGGTGCCTTCCATGGAATTGTATCCAAATCTATAGAGATAATTTTTTTTTTAATATTCTTTCAATGATCAACCTCTAGTTTATAGATTTTTAGGGGTTTTGTTATGTATGCCTTCATTTTCTCTTTTATTATTTAACAAACGGTTGAAGTAATTGATTGCGTGAATGGTCACTCAACTTGTGTTTATTGATCATTAAAGTCATTTTTTTGTCGTTCAAAAAATATGGATTTACTTTACCATAATTATGTCCATAGACAATAGTGTAGTCAATTTTTTTATTAAAATATAAAAAGCAAACATACAAAAAAGTCAAAAATTGTTCAAGATCTACTATATAAAATAATAATAATAAAAAAAAACTATGTATAATAATTGTCCTTGTATTCGATTTTAATAGTAAAACTTTGTTTTAATTTCAATCCGAAATTGCAATAATATTGGGTAATGAGTAGATTAATTTTTCACTCAATAATAATTTAAGGAGAGGAATTCCTGCTATAAGTGTTGTGTTTATCGAAAACAAGAGCAGTGTGATCCAAATCAAATACATCATAATGATTAACATGGTTGAGACTTTTCCATGTTTAATGGATGGAAGAATACCAAGATAATGAGAAGAGCAGTAGTATTACTTGAGCTTATAGAATGACGGGAAATTGATTTTACTTGTGCAGAGCATCAGCAGGACTGTTAAGATGCGCCGGTAGCGTGATTGCAATATAAACTCCCACCTGAACTGAGTCTATATCTTTTTGCAATAAACAACAGTACATTTATCAAAAGAAATGTGATTGCAAATTCAGTGGCGGACCTAGAAATTTTGCCAAGTGGGTTCAACATATTAAAAAAAATAAAATGAAGCAGTATTAAATGTTGTGGGTGGAAATCGTACCCGCGATGCATTAGTCTTGTAACTTCTTTGCCGCTGGGCTACATGTTACTATTGGTTTAAGTGGGGTCAAATTAATTATATATAGTGTTTTGTTTCAAAAAACAGATTGAATATATATGTATATATACAGTGTATTTTTTCGACGAAGTGGGTTCATTTAAGGTCCGCCCCTGATTGCAATATAAACTCTATAAAAGCACTAATGTATGGAATCTCTACACTTGAGCTACTAAAATAGCTACAGATGGGCAGTAAATGAAGAAAGAGTTGAAATAATTGAGAAATTTTGTGTGTCTTTTCATTGAAATCTGTATAGTATTTATACTAATACAAAAGGAATCTATTCGTAACAAACTATACAGCTATAAAATTTCTATTTGCCTAAAAATAAATAAATCTAAATGAATATTTACAAGTTTGTTACAGAAACTTCTAGAGGCTAAAATAATCAGATGACTATAAATCATCCAACACATTCTTGATCAATGTTGAGATTTCATTCCACGTGTCCAAGATATATATACCCAGCTACTACTCTATTTATGTCTTAAACTTGGAGCTTTGTCTGAAATCATCACTCGCCTTCTTCAATTCTTGTAGCTGTTGTGAACCAAGGATAACATGGGAATTATTTTGTTCAACACCCCCTCTCAAGTTGGAGGGGAAAGTAGTGAGACCCAACTTGGCAAGGATTGATCGATGAGATGGTCCGGAAAGGGGTTTAGTAAAGAGATCAGCGACCTGTGAAGGAGACGGAACAAAAGAGAGAGATACCAAGCCAGAAAGAAATTGTTGTCGAACAAAATGGCAATCCAACTCGACGTGTTTGGTTCGTTCGTGAAAAACTGGGTTTTTGGCAATATGAATGGCAGATTGACTATCGGAGTGCACTGGAATAGGTAAAATTGGAATGACGGAAATATCTTCAAGCAGACGAACCAACCATGTTAACTCAGCCACAACACGACGCATGGACCTATACTCTGCTTCAGCGGACGACAAGGAAACAGAAGTCTGTTTTTTTTATTTCCAAGAAATAGGGCAGTCGCCAAGACTGATAAAATAACCAGAAACTGAGCGGCGAGAGTCTGGACAAGATCCCCAGTCAAAATCACAAAAAGCAAGGATCTTGAATGAAGGATTTGAAGAAAAGAAAAGACCTTGGTCTGGGGAAGACCGAAGATAACGAATGACACGGAGTGCAGCAAGAAAATGAGGCAAACGAGGATTTTGCATGTATTTGCTGAGATGTTGTACTGGGAAAGAGAGATCCGGACGAGTATGGGTAAGAAAGTTCAATTTTCCCATGAGACGTCGATATATACTAGGATCAGAAAGAAGCTCCCCTTCATCTGCTCGAAGTTTTTGGGACGGATCAAGAGGAGAAAAAACAGAGGGAGACTCAGGAGTATCAAATTCAGCAAGCAAATCAAAAGTAAACTTCCGTTGGCTCAAAATCAGTCCTTGAGACTCTCGAAGGACTTCCATTCCCAAGAAATAGTGAACCTCCCCGAGATCTTTAATTTTGAATTCATGATCAAGAAATTGTTTAAGTGTATATAGGTCCGTGGGATCATTTCCAGTTAACAATATGTCATCGACGTAGACTGCGACGATAGAAACAGAGGTCCCTACCTTTTTATAAAAGAGAGAATAATCATTGAGTGAAGATGTATATCCTTTGAAATTAAGAGCAACAGTCAATCTGGCATACCACTGTCGGGATGCCTGTCGCAACCCATAAAGTGATTTTTTTAGACGACAGACCAGATTGGGGTGAGGAGGTTCCATACCATGTGGAAACTTCATATATACTTGCTCTTGTAAGGTTCCATGTAAAAAAGCATTATTAACATCTAGTTGGTAAACTCTCCAATCATTCTTGACAGCCACAGTAAATAAGCAACGAATTGTAGTCATTTTTACCACCGGAGAAAATGTTTCATGAAAATCAATCCCCTCATGTTGTGTATCCCCTCTTATAACCAATCGGGCTTTGAGTCTTTCAATTCCACCATCAGATTTATGCTTTACCTTGTAGACCCGTTTACAAGGTAAAACTTTGTGACCAATGGGAAGTTCCACAATATCCCAAGTTTGATTTGAAATGAGAGCGTCAAACTCTGAATTCATTGCCTGCATCCAACCAGGATGTTGAGCAGCTTGAGCATAGCTGAGAGCTTCTGAAATGCTAGATATGGAATTTAGAAGTTTCTGATTAGTGTGAGAAAGGGCTGAAAAAGAAAATGTAGGAGTTTGAACTGGAGATAAAAAACATGTAGATGTGAGATTAGTAAAATGAACAGCATTGCAGACATAATCCTGCAAATAGGAAAGCTGTTTTGAAGTCCTGAGTGATTTTCGTACTGGAATGGATGGAGAATTGAGAGGTGAGGGAGAAGAAGAGGAGGAAATAGAGGTAGGAAGAGGTGAACTAGAATGAGTAGACTGTGTAG